CATCATCATCATCATCATCTTCTTCTTCTTCTTCTTCTTCTTCTTCTTCTTCTTCTTCTTCTTCTTCTTCTTCTTCTTCTTCTTCTTCTTCTTTTATTGAGAAACAAATAGCAATGAGACAATTTCAAAACTGATTAATAGGACAGTTTCAATGATTAATACATTGTACATTGTTATCTTCTTAGTGGTTATCCATAGTACAAGATGCAGACAATATCCTGTCCAAACACTATTAGTACAAATCTTTCTTCTCATTGAATTAAGCGAAAGTAGCTGTGTATCTATCCTAACTATTCTGTATATACAGACACAAAATGGTTCTTCCTTTGTATCCCCTTTTTTTGTTTAGTCCTGTCAGAGATGGGTATTCCACTGGCATCTAAATACTATAGGAACATAAATTCAGCAAAACAATCCAACACAGTCCAGCAGTCCACTATGGTAGTGGGTTATCTGAGGAAGTCGCTGACTTGAGCCTTCACCTGCCTTCTGACTGGAAATATGCATAAAGGACAGGTTCTCCTGAGGCCCTGGGCAACTACCATGGCTGACGCATCTGTCCAAATATCAAATGAGCACGGGTCTTGCAATTGCTCATTTGCCATCTGATATCAGAGCATCAGGTGTTCTCTTTCATGTTTGGACACAACTTCACTATCCCCCTTCTTTAAGCTAAACGTCTCTCATTTTTCATGTTTTTAAATGGGATGATTTTAAATATCCCACCAACCTGGTCACCCATTCCTGGACACATCCTAAGTGGCCATGTCTTTTGAAAATATTCAGCTTCCACAGCTTTGGGAAGATTTGGTTACCCTGATAAGGCAAAATTCATGGCCACATGACAGCTCTCTTTCTCCATCCAGTTCTGCCTGACTTTCTTCTGTCAACTCAAGTCTCCAAAATCCGTGGTGTCTTCCCCTCTACTCCTTATCAGGTGATGAAAAACAAAGCATATCCCAGTACCGCAGCAGTTGGTGGCCTCAGCTAGTTAGATAAAGGTAGGATCCAGGATCTTTCTAATTTGTCAAAAGATTTATGCTCACTGATTCCTGGGCATCTGCAAGAGGATAGAAGAGATTCTTCCCTAGCAGGAAAGTCACTCATTGCTGGGGGTTTGGAGGAGGAAAAGCAGGCTCTGGGAAGGGAGATGAGCTAAAAAAAAAAAAAATTCTTCCTCCAAATCTGGGATTCAGTGGAATTATTTTCTCTTTCTTGAGTATGTGGGTATCATAGATGAGTGTCAGCATTCCTTACTCTGTGAAAGGACATGAAAGTGTAACAGTGTTTAGTGACAGTATTTCTGTTTCTTTTCTTTTCTTTCTTTTTTTTTTTTTTAAATGTATTTAGTACAAGGTCTACAGGGTCTTCCTACACAGATCAGACTCGTAATGATCCTCCTGTTTTCAGCCTCCCAAGCATTGGGATTATAGGCACATCCACCTTCCGTTTATTCTGTGCCTTTGCCATAGGCAGATGTGGAGGGTTCTGGTTAAGACAAATCTCTGGGGGGCTGTGCTTGGTGGAGACCTGGTTCCTCAAAGCCCCAGTGAGTGGGAGGAGAGGATATTGCATGTCCTCTCAATATGTCACTGGCTTCAGTGACCCTTGGGCAGGTGGTCCATATTGACAAAGGCTATTAGGTTTTTTTTTTTTTTCAACACTTGCAATTTAGGGAAAACAACTCAATTTTTGGATCCTGTACTCAGTCTGTGGTTGGTATATACAACCAAACTAAATCAAGTAATAGCATCTGGCCAACTAACCAATCGGTCATCCAGATGAAAACCATGAGGAGGAGGGGTGATGGGAAAAATAGAGAGAGAAAATTTGTTTATTCTTCCTTATATATGAATAGTTAAGAAACATTAGTGCAAACCTCTGCTGCTGGATGGCACACAGATCCCCAGGAGTCATCCTGGAACGTCTGACTTAGGAAGTACAGGCTGCAGCCACATTGTTAATAATATGTCTGGCAATTTTGGTGATACTCGGGGAGGCCCATTTTCAAAAGTTATAGAAAGAAATGATGTGGAATATTTCTGTTGGGTCATCTCCCTCTCCTACTCCATGCTATAGACATTTATGTCTTCTGCAATCTCTGACTGTGAAAGGAATAGAGGAAACTGGGGGAAATTTGGCCATTTTAGTTCCTTTTTAAAATTAAGTACAGAGGTCCAGGGATATAGCTCAGTGGTTTAAACAACTGCCTGGCAAGCACAAGGTTCTGACTTTGATGCTCGGTGCTAAAAAAAAAAAAAAAAAAAGAGGGGGGGGGACCAATGGAATTCCTTCCATCCAAAAGGCTTTAAAATCAAGCAGTGGGGGGCTGGTGAGATGGCTCAGTGTTCTAAAGCACCTACTTAGAACAAGTTTAGCAAAGCACAGGGACCGCGGTTCAATCCCCCAGCACCACATGCCCGCCAGCCCCGCCCCCTGGTGGCCACACACAAAATAAATAAATAAATAAATAAATTTTAAAAATAAAATAAAATCAAGCAGGGTAGGGGCCAGGGAGATGGCTCAGTGGAATAAGTGCTTCCCTGGCAAGCGCAAGGGCCTGAGTTCAATCCCCGGTTCCGCCTCAAGCAGGGTGCATCCAAACTGCAAGATGTACTCAGAGTCATTTTAAAGATTGAGGAAGTGTGTTAATAAAGAAAATCATTATCAATAAGAAGTCACTAGGCTGGCCAGATAACTCAGCGGATTAAAGCTCCTGCTTAGGCGGAGTGCAGTGGCCAGGGTTTGATCCCTGGAGTGCCAGGCCAGACCTGCCCCCTGGGGTGCACATAGATGTCAATTGAGAATGGGCGTGGTGGCGCTCGCCTGTAATCCCAGAGCTTGGGAAGCTGAAAACAGGAGAATCACTAGGAGTCCGATCTGGGTAGTGAGACCCTATAGACTCTGTAGACCCTGCACTAAATTAGGAGAAGGAGAAGTGCTTCCCTGGCAAGCACAGGGGCCCGAGTTCAATCCCTGGTTCCGAAAAAAAAAAAAAAAGTAGGTGCTGTTTTGCTGCATTTCGGGATGTGTAAACAAATGTGTATGGATTACCACTGGCTTGTGGGTAGTAGATGCTTTCTTTCTGATTTTTGTTGTTTTGTGGAACCAGGGATTGAACTCAGGCCCTTGCGCTTGCCAGAGAAGCACTTATTCTACTGAGCCATCTCCCCAGCCCCCAATCTTTCTGATTTTTAAATGGCACAGTAATTGCATAAATTTATGAGTTACTTGTATTGTTTTGATATATGTCTGGAACATTTACTGCTCAAATCAGGGTATGCACCCTTTCTCCTCAAAGATTTATTGTTTCACCAAGGTGAGAACATTCAAAGTCCTTCATCTAGCATATTACTGTGTGATTCACCCACTGTGCAAGAGGACACCAGAAGTTCTCATCTTGGAGTAGCTCAGTACTCGTTGCCCAAACTTCCGCCCTCCCTCCCCCATGCTTCCTGTCTTCTCGTAACCAGCATTCTACTTTCAACTTCGATGAAATCAACCTTAAGATGTCTTTCTTACTATGAGTCATGGTAAAAAGAAAAAAAAATTAGACAACATCTGCTATACCCTGTAATGACCCTTGGGAAACATGCCAAATACCCATATTTCTGAGAATTTCTTTAATGTGAGAATGATGCGACCGCGCTGCTCAGCGGGGTACGTGCTGTGATTGGCAGGAACTCAAGAAATTGATTTTTCTCACCAGACTCACTGCCCTGCAGCTCGTGATAATTTGTTTAAATAAAGATGGAGTAGGCAGGTGAAAGACATTGATGCCCATAATCAGATTAAATTAGTCAGAACTGGCAAAAAGGCGTGCTGTTTTTTGGAAGTGATAATGGAGAGATGAGCGAATATCAAATTAGAAAAATGGGAGAAGGGCCCTGATTGGAAAGGAGGATCCAGATGCAGGAAATTCAGGGTCTGGTGGGAAGGCTGCTGTGACAATGTAATCAGGAAGTTACTGATGTGTGGAGGAGGGCCTGCTGGGAAGAGCCCCTATTTCATTAGAACAACACCTTGACAGCGCATCTTGCTTATGGTTAATGGAAAAGGGCCACAAAGCAAAACAGAAACATTTTTTTTCTCTTTCTCTTTCTCTTGCTTGCTCCAGAAATCTACTGGTGAGCCTTCCGAGAAGGACGCCCTGCAGCCAGGCCGGGACCTCGTGGCAGCTGGCTATGCCCTCTATGGCAGTGCCACAATGTTGGTCCTGGCCACAGAGAGTGGTGTCAACTGCTTCATGTTGGACCCGGTGAGCACCCTTACAGGAGGCCAGTGTGTGGCCGGCTCTGAGTATGTGTGTGTGTGTGTGTGTGTGTGTGTGTGTCCAGAGGTAGGTTGAGGTAGGAAATGAGGTGTGTGGAGAGACCAAGGTGGGGTAGGAGAAGGAGGGAGATGGAAACATACAAACAAACCACAGAACTGAGAAACAATGTCTGTCCAGAGTGTAAGAAGAGTCCTTGTTCCAGGGTGAATTCTTTAAAACAGTCATTATTCCAAATGCCTCCAGTGCCCGTATGCATTAGGTGAAGTGTGCTGGCAAGGCTGGGTAAACCAGAGGGGTCTGGCAGCTTTTTCTACTTGGGAACAGAGGCTCAATCTTGTAGGGCTTCCACTGCTTGAATATACACTAGGCTAGGGCTGGAGAGATAGCTTGGCATCTAAGTGCCTGCCTGGTAAGCTCAAGGACCCGGGTTCGATCCCCAGTACCACATGCAGTGTCTGCCCCAGAACCCCAGGCACACCATTCCAGCCCCGAAACCAAGTGGCACATGCCTATAATCCCAGCGCTGGGGAGGCTGAGACAGGAGAATCACTACAAGTCCAAGCTGCATAGTGAGACCCTATACCAAGTAAATAAATACTTAAAAATTTTAAAAAGACACTAGGCTAAATAAGAAATGTTTTTAGATGCGCAAGACACAGCTAGATGACTCACATTTATGAACCAGCAGGGCCCCGTAGTCGGTCTGTTCCCCACCCCACCAGATCCATTCCTAGCCTTTCTGCTTTATCAAAAAAGCTTTTTTTCCTGAGTGAAATGGGTTTCCCAGTTGAAGCAATGAACGCCAGTGTTTCTTAAAAAATAGCTCCCAAATGGATTTATCTTTGTGTCCATGCGTGCAAACCCGCAGTTAACCTTTGTGATAAAACTCAAAGGAAATGAAAATAAAGGAGGACATGAGGATAATCCTCCAGTGTACCTTATATAGAAAAGGGACCTTACAAAGAGAAGCCCATGGTACCATTAAAAGATGCTCAGTGACAGTTTTTTCACATGTTTACTAATTTGTCCATTATTTATTTAGTCAGTTTAGATGAAAGTTTCAACAGAGCAAGTAAATTAGGGAAACAAATCTCTTTAAATATTTGGTGCAAAAAGCTGGACATAGTGGTACACGCCTGTAATCCCAGCACTTGGGAAGCTGAGGCAGGAGAATTGTCATGAAGTGGAGACCAGCTTGAGCTACAGAAGACAGCCTGAGCGCAAGCCAGTCTGAACTTCACAATGAGACCCTGTCTCAAAAAAAAAGACAAAACAAAGCAAAACAAAAAAATATTTGATGCAGCTAAACCCACCACTGAAACACATCCTCAAGGGGATAATCACTGACATGCTGGTCCATTCTTTATGCACGTAGTCCGCACCACCAAGGGGACAAGAACTGGATGTATAAAGTACTTTCAATTGTATAAATGACTCCATATGATGCTAATGGAATGCTTTACGCAGTGACTTTTTTTTAAGTAAACTCAAGGTGCAAACTGCAACCTGGAAACCTCCGTGAGGAACAGGTTATAAGGAGCTCACGGGGCAGCATGCGTGGCAGGCGGTGTATAAGAGAACACAGTCTACCTGTGACTAGGGCGCTCCTCACGGAGCTGGACTTTCACCTCCTTGGAAACATGAGCATTTAGGTAAATAAGGGCAGGGTAATAGTGCCAGTTAAAGTCTCCGAAGGAGATAACTTCAGAGGGAAACAGCAGCACAACCAGAGCAAAGCTCAGTGTGAGCCCAGACCCCAGCTTCTGAAGTCAGGGCTATGTCTCTCCTGACGCCTCTCCTGGCCAGGCATTGGCAGCTTCCTAGAACATCTTCTGGTGCTTCTGAATCGATAGATATATAGTAAGAGAATCAAATAGCTTTTTGCTTCCAGGTTGCATCTGGCTGTCTGCAAGAACAAGTTCCTATGTATTTAACAGTATTTTTCCCTCTTCAGATCTAAGTGTCTCAAAGAACAATAAAGGGGAACCAGGAAGATGGCTCAGTAGAATAAGCGCTTCCCTGGCAAGCGCAAGGGTCTGAGTTCAATCCCCAGTTCCGGGGGGGGAAAAAAAAAGAACAATAAAGTATGTTGTAATAGAGCCCAGCTCTTGATTTCAGCTCCTCTGCTCACTGCTGTTTAGGAGGAAAGGAGGCTTCTTACCCGGGAGGTGCTAACTGCTACTTCTTCCTTTTGGCTCCTCCAAGGGCAGGCTGATGTTTTCTGCTAAAGCCACCAAGATACTGACACATGTGCTTCTCGCAGGCTTTCCTTTCATCGTGGTTTTGTGCCTCCGTTATCATCAGAGGGGACGCCCCTCCCCGACACTCTGACTCCCAAGCCCAGCTCTAGGACAGGGCATCTGCAACACATGACTTCCTGAGCTCAGCACACAGTACCTGGTGTTCTTGTAAAGGCATTTATTTCATTTTGCTGATTCTAAAATAAAATTACTATATATTTGTTTTCAACATTTTTGGAAATACAAAAAAAAAAAGGCATAAGGTAAAAATGAATCACAATGATGCTTTTCAGTGACCACTGTTAATTCTAGTTCTCTCTCTCTCTCTCTCTCTCTCTCTCTCTCTCTCTCTCTCTCCAACATACTCCGTATCTTTAATTACCAGTGTCTGTTATGGAAACTAAGATGCCTGGTCCTCTCTTTTTAGCTCTTACCCTAGTCATGCACTCTCTGCCAAGGGAACAGAGCCGCCATCATGCAAGTATGTCTCCTTTAAAGTATGAGAACCTCAAAGGCATAAGTAAGCTCAGTGCCGGGCTGAGTGGAAGACAATGTTCTGAGACAAATTGTACACATCAGTGAGGCAAGGAGTGTGAAGTGCTATAAGCACAGGCCCAGAACTCAGGGTTCCACATGGTGAACCCATGAAACATGCAAATGGGACAGTTTTCACTAACATATAACTGTAAAATCAAGTACAGGACTATGATTCTACAGTCACTTGACTCTCCCAACATCCCACGTCCCAACTGCACCAAGTTGTAGATATATAAGCACACACATATGTTCTATTGCTTTGGACATGCAATTATTATTCTGCTTTAATTTTTGCTGTTATTTCATGCGCTTCCAACCTTTCCTTTCCAGTCTTATGGTTTCTTTCTTGTTAGCTGAAGTCATTTGCAACAAAGTCAATAATCTCCTTTACCCGGCCGTTGGCTTTAGAAGCATCCACTTGCTCGATCCTCCTCAATTTCCTTCACTCTTTCTCATCACTCTTTCTTTCCACACACTGTTCACAGTTCCTGGAGTGTTTGGCAGGAGCCACTGGGTCTTAGGATGAAGCGACCACAGCCCTGATGGCTCCCAGTTCAGCCCAGCCAGCCCCACCCATTATTGTCTGTGTCTTTCTTTCCTTATTTCTTTTTTTTTTCCTAAAATCTTATTTATTTGTGTGTGTGTGTGTGTGTGCGTGTGCGTGTGTGTGTGTGTGTGTGTGTGTGTGTGTGGCCAGCTCAGCCCACCAGGGAGCAGGGCTGGCTGGCATGTGGGGCTGGGGGATTGAACCGAGGTCCCTGTGCTTTGCTAAGCTTGTTCTAAGTAGGTGCGTTAGACCACTGAGTCATCTCACCAGCCCCTTTCTTTCCTTATTTAAAGGCCATTGGGGAGTTCATCTTGGTGGACAAGAATGTGAAGATAAAAAAGAAAGGTAATATCTACAGCCTTAACGAAGGCTATGCCAAGGACTTTGACCCTGCCATCACTGAGTACATCCAGAGGAAGAAGTTTCCTTCAGTAAGTGAGCAGACAGTGGATAGGCCGGGGGCAATGTCAGTGTCCAGGCATTTGGCACTAGGGGCAGTTCTGGGGAATGGGTGTCCCCATAGAAGAAAGGGGACCCTTGGGATTGAGAAGAGTGCTAGACTTTATCTAGGACTTAAGTCATGCATCTGTTGATCATCATCAATCCTAGAGGTGAAGGGAAACAGGGATGGAGGTGAATTGAGTGTCCACCTCCCCCGAGCCTGTGTCAAAATAATGTCAAAACAGTAGTGCTCTTTCACTCTTTACCATTTTCTCTTGGCAAAAGAAAATTAAGATAACAAAATTAATGAGATGAGTTCATGGCAATAGGACATTTCTACTTTTGGAGCCCCTGATCCCAGGTAGTACGCGATGTGGTTCTCCCATCCTGCCACTTGCCGTGTTGTACCTGTCCCTCTGGGCCCACATCCATGATGAATTCCTATCAGTTGTCTCAAAGTGGAGAGTGTCCTTCTCTGTTTCTCTCTAAAGAGATTATAAGCTCATAAATACAAAGAAAAGTGGCTAATTGTACATCCAGCTTTATGGGGGACTATATAATTTTGTTACACCCTTTCTTAAAAGCCATCAATAGCTGCTGTTTTCTGAGGATGAAGCCCAGATGATGTTAGCACGGCATCCAGGGCCCTCAGAGCTGGCCCCAGAATTTCTCTAGTGGAACTATTTCTCCTTTCTGTTTGCCTTACTTGCAACATGCACAGCACCTGCACATCCCCAACAAAATGCACAGCATCCCCAACATGTACACCTCCAGCCCCTGCACACATGCATTCCTGGAGGCCCTATGTCAACAACATTGGCTTTTCTGTGTGGCTAAGTCTTTACTTGGACAGATTCCCCATCATTCCTTCCCAGCTCCTTAGTTTGCCAAAATCCTTCTTCCACCTTCAAGGTTCTGCTAAATATTACAATTTTGTGATACCTGTTCTGGCCCTATACCCACAATCACCACACCCTTTTGGAGCTTCTACCAGTCATTTGACCTACTGGGAGATGCACAGGAGACACTCTCCATTTTTTATGGTATTTTCATTATATTTCTTACTACAGTTCCAAACACACACCTCATAGGTGATCAATAAATGATTGTGGGGTCAAATAAGCATAGGGCATGAAGAGAATGCTCTTTATTTTCTGCAACCCTTACAATGTTGTTTGTGACCTTGTAGGATAATTCAGCTCCCTATGGGGCCCGGTATGTGGGCTCCATGGTGGCTGATGTGCACCGTACTCTGGTCTATGGAGGGATCTTTTTATACCCTGCTAACAAGAAAAGCCCCAATGGGAAGGTAAGCATGGGCCTCTAAAAGTGACTGAGAAGGAGTGGATTTCATTTTCAGCCTGGGAAATTTTAGGTTCCTTGGGAAGAAAAAAGGTTATGACAGCTGTTATGCATTCCAGTTGTTTCTTGGGATGCGTATGGCATATTCTTTTCTAGGTTTAGTCTAAAGCCAGACGATATAGCTAAACATGAACATGTTCTCTTGAGAGCTGGTCCAGTATTATGGCAAAAAAAGGATTAATGGAGTTATGGTCAGGAGGAGACTAAAAGTGCTTAGCATTTCCCCTGGGTATATGGTTTGGCTTGGACCAAGTGAGTTCCATTCATAAATGGTCTAGTCTCATTATCAAGACAGCAATTCAAACATATGTTGCAAAGAGAGATCTTCTTTGACTGCTTTCAAAAGGCATAAAATAGAAATAACAAATGAGCCTGACATTTGCTACCTAGAAAATGATACCTTTTAGGGTAGGGAAGAATTCTGGAGAAGCCTGGAGTTTCTGGGTAAGCTGATCCCATTGACTGCTGCTCCAGTTCCAGTGCTGCTCCCAGCAAGTCACAGGGTAGAGTGTACCTTCTTGTGCTGCCTAAGGGACACTGTCTTCTCCTATGCAAGGTGACAATGTACTTGTTTTCCAAGCATTATGTCTGCTTTATTATTGCAATGGACAGATATTCTTTTTGTTTGCTTGTTTAGTTATTTTTGAGACAGGATCTTCTTATGTAGCCCAGGTGAGTATCTTGGTTACTTTTCTCTCATTGCTGAAACAAAATACCCAACACCCAAAATTAAGGAAGGAAAGATTTATTTAGCTCACAATTTGTAGTAGTTTCAGTCCATACTCGACTGGTTCCCAGGCAAAGTGACACATGACAGAAGGCAACAGTTCATCATTGCTGGTGGCAGACAATAGCAAAAGCAACAAGAGCATAACGGGGGAAGAGCGGCAAGCCTCTTTCTCTCCCTTATGCTGTGTACACAGTACCCGGCCCAGGGCAGGTGTAACACTCAACCCATAATCCCAGCATCAGACTATGCATCAATCGCCTCCAGAAGCCCACCCATGACTGCATGAGACTTTAGAAGGACATCTAGACATAAGCATAACAGTGGGTCTTCCCTCTTCAGTAAATCCATCACTTATACCTACAATTGTGATAAATCAGTCAGTGGACTAATCTGGGGTCACACACCCAGGATCCAGTCACCTCCTGTAGTCCCACCTAAGAGCCCACGAGGCTTTGGGGGATGTGTAGATATAAGCCATAACAATAAGAGAAGGAAAGAGAACAAAGAAACCCTTAAGATAGAAACTGATGTGTTTCAAACATAGTGAGTTCAGGTCACTGGGGGCATCCTTCTATGCAGAAGGCATCAGCCTTGCAGTAGCCACATGTGTCCCACCTATCTGATTAGCTCACTTTATGGCACTTTTCTTGAGTGCCTCCAAAAAGTGTACCTTGACCCAAGTGTTGAAGTACCTCCTATTTTTTTCAGTTTTTCAAGCCTGGCCCGGACACCTATAAGGAAATGGTCAGGAAGCACCTGCACGGAGCTGTCTGCTCAGTAGGCAGTCTGGGTGAAAATGCCTATGACAAAAAGTTAACATTTGAAAGCAAATGCCAAGGTGTATAATATACTAAATCCCACCCCCAGAGCCTTAGGAGAATTGTAAAAGGAATGCATACAGAGCTGCACACAGTATTACTCTGTTCGGAGGAGCCGGTCTGCTTTCCAGATGTCTGCAGCCAGACACTACAGTGGGTTTTTTTTTTTTTTTTAAATGCTTTTAGAATAGGCAAAGCTCCATCCAAAGCACATACAGAATCACTCATTAGGTCCAAGTTCTGTGCTAGACAGAGAAGAGAACCATCAGCACTGCCAAAATGTCACTCTGTCCTGGATCCAGGTGGTCTGATGCACATTCACATCGGGTAATCTATCACTGGCTCTGGCTTGGTGAAAGGTTTTAATTTAACCAAATGGTTAATCATTTGTCTCAGACATAACCTGGTGTGGGAGGGAACTTCTGCAACCTCCTTAAAGGAAAAAGAGGAGATCAGTTACCTTGGAAATCCCCACCATCTCTGCAGTGTTTGGCAGAGAACAAAACCTCTCTCTGTGTCACCTTCTCATTTGGTGATGCTGGTCTCCGGTCTTGTCTTCCAGCTGAGACTGCTGTATGAATGTAACCCAATGGCCTTTGTCATGGAGAAGGCCGGGGGATTGGCCACCACAGGCAAGGAAGCTGTATTAGACATTGTTCCCACTGACATCCACCAGCGAGCGCCAGTCATCCTGGGGTCCCCTGACGACGTGAGGGAGTTCCTGGAGATCTACAAGAAGCACTCTGCCAAATGAAGAGCTGGTCTTGCCCTCACCGCAAAGAGCTGCCTCACAGCACTAACCCATTCAGGCTGTGGATTCTACATTCCTAATCAGTGGACATAAAATACATAGATATTTTCACCATCTAATGTTCTCTAATGCCGATGCTGCCTACCCCAAATGCTATCTCAATCATGTCACTGGTGGGAAAGATATACTCTGAGCAGAGGGAGGAGAAGTAAACATATTCTTCCTTTTTAAAAAGTATTGCTTTGGGGCTGGTGAGATGGCTCAGTGGTCTAAAAGCACCTACTTAGAACAAGCTTAGCAAAGCACAGGGACTGTTGTTCAATCCCCCAGCACCACATACCAGCCAGCCCCGCCTCCTGGTGGGCTGAGCTGGCCACACACACACACACACACACACACACACACACACACAAATAAAATTTTAAAAAAAACTGAAGAATGAATTTAAAAAAAAAAAGTATTGCTTTGTGTCATACAATGATGATGATAAATCATCATTATCTTCACAACAACCTTATGAATTGAGTGTTATCTAATCTATTTTAAAGGTGATGAAACAAAGAGCTGAGAGTTGAAGAAATCTGCCTGAAGTCTCCAATCAGTGAGTGGCAGAGCTAGAATTTGAACCCAGGCATTCTGGGCACTAAACTACGACTCACTCACTGCATTGCCTTTCCTACATGTTGTCTCATCCAGATAATAAGGCTGTCTGTGCCCTCTAGGGAGGGAAGCATTGCTTAGTTGCTAGTGACAGCTGCATATGGCTTGGCCTTCCAACTACGGCTACAGCCATCTGAGTCGCAGCTGAAAGTTCACATTGCTATTTGATGGTAATTGTTCTAAAGGCACAGAATGTTATTGAACTAATAAAGCCTAACGTCCTAGGTGTCATTACCACAAGGAAAATGATTCATTATAAAAATCCAATTTAATGGGATACAATATGTGGCAAAGAGGTAGGTTTCTAAGTTCCCTCTATAAACACTTTACTCCTTAGCTAATTTTAGCCCTTTCTAGACCAGAAGTTCAAGATTACAGCAAGTTTCATCAGGTGTTAAGTAACACCTGTGGCCTTTCTTGAGCTCTGGATTTAAAAATGTGTGAACCAAACATATATCTTCACTTGTGAACTTAAAATAGGTGTCTGCATAAAGTCTGCTCCTTTCTCTGCAAACACTCCCCATGAATTCCATGTTTCTCCAGCAGGAAACTTAGCTGGATCGCAAGTGTTAGGTTTGCTTTTGTACCAACTGGAACTAGATCCTGGCATTTCCCCCACTCAACTGTGGCTTATCTCCCCATGAAAGTCTCTACTCACAAAACTCCTTGATTTTTAACCTTCTTGTGGCTCAGGTGGTTTCTGGTTCTCAGCAGGAAAGGAGATGCTTATCTGAGAGCCTCTTCCTATGGTTGAGACAAACACAGGGCGGGAGTAGAACTCCCCCAAACTTGGGCCGTGATGAGACAAGCAAAATAACAGAAGCCCCATTTCTTCTGCTTCTGTCTGTATGTTCTACATGATCTCTTTGGTCTACAATATTATTCACTTAATGGAAGGCTCTCAGCCGATGCTTATTCTACCATGGGAACATCCAAGGCCTCTATGTATCCTGCTCTGAGAAAGATAATCACAGATCCACAGAATTGGCAACACACACTGATGCACTCTGATGATTCTTAGACTCTCAGAGTGCGATTTGACCTTGGAGATTCTTGGACAGATGGGGGTGTAAGGATCCCATCTGCTGAGTATCAGGCAGGGATGCACAGAAACTCGGGTTCCCTGTCATGCTGGAGACCTTCTCTATCCTAACCGAACATATAATATTCTTTTAGCAAAGGAAAACCTCCCCTCCTGACCACACACAAACTTAGCTGCTTAGCAATTTCCTACTGAATTCCTCAATATCAGTAATATGTAGGGAGCTCATTTCTTCCCTTTGCCACCTGCAGGTCTGATTTGTGCTCACAGAGCTTTCATGGCTGTACCTCCCCTTCCTCCCAGTCAAGGCCATACTTGACCTTAAGTCTTAAGTGTGTTAAGGAAAGTTAGCCGAGGAGTTTCTCCACAGTAGTGCACATGTGTCCTTCACCAAAGGTAAGAAACATAATTCCAGCATGACTTGGAGCCACCACGGGCAGGTTAGACACAGCTTATGCCTCCCTCGGGGCATTTGATGGAACAACATCCAGACTACGATAGATAGGAAAACTTGAGCAACACTGGCTCCCAAAGCCCCCAGCATGACTGTGGCCTATTCCCCAGAATTAGGAATAATTTCAAGATGCTTGTGGTGCATTAAATGATACCCCCCCCAAAGACATGCCCATGACCCAATTTATGGAACCTATAAATGTGACCTTATTCTTTGCAGATATAATTAAATTAAGAATTTTGAGATGAGATCATCCTAGATTACTATGTGGCTCTTAAATTTAAAATGGCCTCAAAAGAGATACACAGGTTCGATCCCTGGCACCACATGCCATGCCAGCCCTGCCCCTGAGAACACTGAGCCGGTAGCCCAATCCGGGCATGGTGGAGCATGTCTGTAATTCCAGCACTGGAGAGGCTAAAAACAGGAGGATCACTACGAGTCTGAGCTGTGTAGTGATACCCTGTACAAAATGCATAAATATATGCATACATAAATAAAGACACACAAAGAAGACAATGTAGAGATGAAGGCAAAGATTAGAGTGATGTGACTGCTAGCCAAGGCAACTGAGGGATGCACCTGAAGATGAAAGAGGCAAAGAAATATCTTCTTCTAGGGCCTCAGAGACCACATGGCTTTTTGCCTCCTTGATCTGAAATAGTTTCCAGAATGGTAAGAGAATATAGTTCTGGTTTTTGTTTGTTTGTTTAAACCACCAAGTTGGTGGCAGCTCTAGGAAACATCTAGTCATGTAACCCAAGGGGCATAATTCAGGGGGCCCCATGCTACCAGTCCAGCAGACACTGTTCTTTGCACAGCCATTCTCATCCAAGAGGTGCTTCACACACAAGCTGATGCACCCTTCAGAAATCAGAAGGCTTGGACTGGGTGTGGTGGCACATGCCTGTAATCCCAGCTCTTGGGAAGCTGTAAACAGGCAGATCACTATGAGTCCAATCTAGTAGTGAGATCCTGAACATCCTGTAGACCCTTCCCTAAAATACAAAAAAAAAAAAAAAAGAAAAAGAAAGAAAGAAAGAAAAAAAAAAAGAAAAGAAAGAGAGAAATCAGAAGGCTTAAACTCACAAAGGCTCTGCTCTTTCAGTGAGATGCTGCTTTTGGTTTCCCTGAAGTATGCGGCTGTCTGTGCTCCCCAATGTCTCCACAAGCTAGCAGAGAGAAGGGCAGAGATGGTGATGAAGTGAGACTCAGCTGAGAGTCCCAGTAAGCTTAAGGAAAGCAGTTGGCCACAACAGCTCATTGAGATGACCTATGCTGTGGTGGGGTAACCTGAGGTCAAGGCTTTATTTCTGCCTTTTGGTGGCTGTATGAGGCTGGTGAGGAGAAGTCACATGCTCACCAAGTCATCGCTTCCTGGGCCTCCATGAAGACTACATATCCCGGCTACCCTTGCATGTAGGTGAGGGCCAATGACCTTACAGGGTATAGAAATGACCTGACTGCATCTGGTTTGTCCATCAATCTCCGACAGGTTTTCCTCTCTCTCTCCCATTCCTTGCTGCTTCTGAAGCTGTGCATTCTAATGCCTGCAGGCCTGAGCCACCAAGTACAATGTGAAGGTGAAATCAGTCTTTGTTTGACTAAGTTACTGGGGCATGGGACGTGTTACTGTAGTAATGTAACACACCCAGGCTGAGTGATGAAGCTTGAGCTTGGTGATGTATTGTTTTGTTTTGTTTTGTTTTGTTTTTACTTCTCTGAGCCTCAGTTTCTTCCTTTGAAAAATTGGAATCATGATAACATAATGCTGTTGATTAAACTATCTGCTGTTGCCAAGGCCATTTTCACTTTAAATATAAAAACCCACTCATTCTGGCTAAGTCAGAAAGGTAATTTGCTGGAACAATGCAGGAGATCTCATGAAACCCAGTATTCTTTACTTCCTGTCCTGCAGGACCCAGCCCTGTTAGTTCCCGCACTACCATCTAGTTCACTAGGGTCTCTGTCTCCGTCTCACCCCTAAGTTCCCAGAGAAAAAAATTTGACTGGTTCAGCCATGTCAAGTGTGTTCTTCTGGCCCAACAGCCAGAGACCAGAATCACAGAAGGTCAATGTGGCCTTGAATTTTCCACTTACAAACAGGTGTCTTTTTTCTCCAAGATCAGGATCACAGACTGAGTAGGGACCCCAGGGTGTCAGTAGGATGCTGAGGTTTCATGAAGAAGCGCATGTCAGGAGAGGATGCGAGCCAAACACATTAGTGGAATTTTTCCCATGGTGGCCCTGTGGTATTCTAGATTTCCATTTCTAGGCTTTGGTCTGCAGGTGGAGCACCCTGCCCTAAGTCCAAGGCTTTCCTAATCATTCAGGGTTTCATTTGTCCTGATCCACTGCAACTCAAACCTCAAAGCATCTTTCAGCAAGCACAGCCAGCTCATAAATAGCTTCGTGGTCACCAGTGTGTTAACATCATCGCAATAACCATGAGGGGAGTGCTGTTCTGCCTTCGTCCAGGCTGTCACCACGGCTGCTCTATAAGTTTCCACTTTGATTTGGGCCCTGGAAGAACTTTGGCATTTGCTGAAAGGTCAGCAGCTGTAATTTCAGGCCATGTGAGTAACTTGAACTTCTAACATTTAAATGTAGCTTCAAAGGGCTTGTGACTGCTATAGTGCCTTAGCTGGACAGAGGTGAAGTGGGTCTCTCAGGCCCCTTTCTGGGGCAGTAGTTGATTGCTTATCAATGACCTTAGCCAATACTTCTTCCTCTTAACCCGAATTTATTTATTTACTTATTTTTCTTCATTTATGTATCTGGTACAGGGTCTCACTATGAACTCGGACTCATAGTGATCCTGTTTTCAGCGTCCCCAGCATTGGGATTATAGGCATATGCCACCATGCCCAGACTTGGTCACTGGCTCAGCGTGTCCCGGGGGTGGGGCCAGCGTGGCATGTGGGACCAAGAATCGAACCCTGGTCCCTGAGCTTGCCAAAGCAGGCGCTTAGTCTGCTGAGCTATCTCGCCAGCTCTCTAACTTGAAAATGACCCATGCATCTTACTTGTGACACCTACAGAATACTCAGCACCCAGGGAGGGACCTTCCAGCTATCTGTGCTGAAACTGGCTTTTTGGTTTGCTCATCTGTCTCATTACAAATCTGTCAGGAATAGCTAGCTACATCAATAAACTGTAAGAAAAAGAATTACTGAGATGGCCATAAACATGAAAACACTCTCCGTACTGTATTGGGAATAATTAGAGCAATGCCTCTGTCAGCCACCACGAAATGCCATTTCACACCCAGAAGGACAGCTGCTATAAGAAAAAAAGGACAAGTGCTGGCAAGAATGTGTAACACTGGGATCGTTGTTCATTGCTGGTGGGAATGTAAAATGGAACAAAATGATGGGGAAAATGACACGCCAGCTCCTCAAAAACTCAAACAGAATCACCATAGGCACCAGCATTTCAACTTCTAGATGTGTATCCCTCAAGGGACTGCAAGCAGGGATGCAAGAAGATGCTGGTTCAGAACCATTTACTCCAAATAGCCTAACAGGAGAAGCAACTCAAGTGTCCACTGGCAGATGAGTGAATGGATAAACAAAGTGTGATACAGATAACATTCAGCCTTAAAGACATTCAGCCTGACAGAGGCTCCATCAGTGATGACCCCTAAAGACATTTCTGTTAAATAAAATAAGTAAATCAGAAAAGAACAAATATTCTATGATCCCACCCACATGAGGTAGCTCCAGTAGGCAAGTCCATCCAGACAGAAGTGAGATGAGTAGGTCCAGGGGTGGGAAGTAGGGCGAATGGGAGTTTGTGTTAAATGGATGCTAGATTTCTGTTTTGGAAGATGAGGTCACAAAGATGGATGATTCTGGGGCCCAGGAGATGGCTCAGTAGAATAAGCCCTTGCCTGGCAAATGCAAGGGCCTGAGTTCAATCCCCAGTTCCACCAAAAAAAAAAAAAAAAAAAAAAAAGATGGATGATGCCAATGCCTGGATGATGTGAATGTGCTTAATGCCACTGAACCACATCCTTAAAAATGGCCAGCATGATGAAGAAGTTACTGGAAAATGACATGAAATACGTAAAAAAAAAAGCCTCAATTGTTTAATGATAGACTGTAATTTCACTTAAATTTAAATTGTTTCTTTTCTTTCTGTTGTTGTTTTTTGATACAGGGTCATCTTCTATAATTCAGGCTGGCCTTAGAACTCGCTGTGTGGTCCAGGCTAGCCTTGAACTCAACCTCCTGCCTCAACCTCTCAAGTGCTGGGATTACAGGCATGGGCCACCACATCCAGCATAAATTGTTTCATTTTAGGTCTATATTTTGATAAATGTAGTTAGAACAAACATAACAGGAAAATTGTCATAGAAATTTTGATTTTTCTACTTAACTCCTAGTAGGCCGATGCAATATGTAGAGTGTCCATGATCTACTTTGTATTTTGTTTTTCAGTAAAAATGACTTCTAAAAAATGTACAGTTCTATGAATTTCAACATGTAATATAGATTTAAGTAGCTGTATCCACAATCAGAATAGAGAACAGTGCATGTTCTGCAGAACTCTCCTCTATCCTAACCTTCTCCACACCCCTACCCATTGACAACCATGCAGCTGTTCTCTCTCACCATGAGTTGATCTTTCTGAGAATATTTTATACCTGGAATCCTCTAATAGGTCATCTTTGGAGACTAGCTTCTTTCACTCAAGGACATTCATGTAATAATAGCTTGTTTTTTCTCATTGCTGAAAAATATCTCATGTTTGGATTTACCTATTTGTTACCCATTCACTGCTGAGGAATATTTAGTTGTTTGCAGGTCCTGACAACTATAAATAGAGCCAATGCAAATAAATACCCACGAGTGGACTTGTGTGGGAATGTGTGGTTTCTCCAGGATGGATGTGACAGCGCCCTTTGAGGGGCATTGCTTTGCACGTCCGCTGGGAAACCTTCTTGCTCAGATGGCAGTGTGAGATGGAAGAGGAAACCTGCAAACCAGTCAACAGACCACGCGTCCTGCAGTCATTTCCTGGCCCAGCCTCAAAAACTCATATTCAGAGCATTGTGTGCCCACAGGATGACAAGAAGGGGAGCACAGGCCAGCAGACTGGGCTGGGAGATAGCTTGGCAGTCTGAGCACCTGCCTGGCAAGTGTAAAGACCAGGTTTGATCCCAGGTACCACATGCCGTGCCGGACCCAGAACCCCAGGCACATCATGC